CATAGGTTTTTGACAAGGAAGTGGCTATGCGCATTCAGGTAGGTATAATTAATTAATTAGTAAATATTGAAGTATATTATAGTCTTATATGTACTTCATCATCAATATAAGTAAAATATTTCAACTTATTAATAATTTTACTTTATTAATTCTTTATTTCGTTTAAATAAATTACAAATCAAGTACTAGAATCAAACAAATATAGAAAAAAAGTTAATTCAAATAAGCATCAACAATTTTAGAAACATTTCTAGCGCTCCTCTCTTAGAATTCGAAGGAAAAGGTTGTATTTCGTTATTTTCAATGCATTTAACGAAAATAATGTTATGCTAGATCTTTTCTTCTCTATTAACTGCATTCTTTATGTTAATTACTTATATCATAGAAGGGAAGATTTTTATATTGTTATTGTTAATCAATTGACTTACAAAATGAGAAATTGAAGAACATAAAAGGCCGATTATATTTCAGTCTATGATGATATTCTTTATTGAGATACAGTAATTAATTTTCACTTCAATCTTTCCTCTATTCCTGTTCATTAGTACTTGAAAACTAGAGGGACACATTTGATGTAATCTCATTTATAATAGTAAATAAATATTATGATATCATTAAAAAGTCTATTACACACATCCTGAACATTCATTATCACCAGTCCCTTATATTAGTATACTTGAATCCAAGTAGTTTATTTGTTCAAGGATACTCTCATACCAGTCGCGTAGTGTTGACGCTTGATTGAACGCTTAACCCGAATAAATACTTCAGGACAACTCTTCACTTATAAAAATGGAACCCAATAAAGATTTTTTCTTGGATGAGAACATTTTTGATCACCAAAATTCTCCAGTATGCATTTCGCATTATTATTCTCAAAAAATGATGCGTATGTGTACGTGATCTTCTCATCCATAGTCATACGAGATAATACAGATATCATCAACCGCACCCTCACCCGCACTCACAATCCATACCTATTACAGCATCAAGTGAATTGACCACGAGTAAGAGAATTCAGTCTCATTTTGAAAAAAGCTTATTAGCGCAGCCTCTTTAGGGCTGAAATGTGAAACTCACATATTCTATATAAGCTAAGATACCTAACCATATTTAATACTCGTTGCTGTGGTCTGTAATGGGGATGGGTAGGGAGTCGAGAAACTTGACCTTAAAATATACACACTATTTTCTTCGAAAATATATGTGAGTTTCACAAAATGAGAAAATATGCACTTTTTCTATAGACAAATGCCATCCTAATAACTAACTACATTGATCATAAATTCATTAACTTCTTCATACACTAATTGCTTTGATGGCACATTAATATCGTTAATTTCTCGGAACAACGCTGAATGTGGATGAAGAGTTATGTGCTATGCAGAAGCATTCGATAAGAAAACATGAACAGTCACCAATTCGAAACAAATGATGATCAAAAGTATCTTTTCCATTTTTTCTTTATGAAGCAATTCGACAATTGGAAAGATTTTGAAACAACTTTTAAAAATTGACGTAACAATTACTATCAGCTGGTGAATATGGAACGTCATTCAATGAAATATACGGAAAAATAATAAAAGTATTGTTTGATCGTTTTTGATACGCAAATCTAGTGCATGTATGTCATCATACTGGTCCTGTTAGAAGAAATACAAAGGATGGATGAAGATCAAATCAAGAATCTGCTCAAATGAACCGTCAGTTCAATTCTCAAATAAAACAGGATACGGAACTAAATAAATTATTTTTATGACGAATAAAAATTTAACTCATACTCATCCAATACAAGAGATAATTTACAAGAATTATTTATTTGAATGGAATAAAGAATTAATCAAGTAAAATTACTAATAAGTTAAAATATTTTACTTATATTGACGATGAAGTACATATAAGACTATAATATAACTCAATATTTACTAATTAATTAATTATACCTGTCTGAGTGTACGTAGCCACTTCTATTTTGACAATCAATACAAACAATTTGTCTAAGATATGTAACTTTCTAATTTAGTGTTTTCTTGAGACTGTCTTATCTAAGTTATTGATTGTTCGACTGACATTTTTTTTTCTATTTGTATTTGTTCCTAATTGTTATCTGACAATTTTCACTGAAATTGAATAGTCTAACTAATTATGTGTATTGATTATTCCAAGTTCTTTTTGACATCAGGTAGCAAGTTGTCGTTATACCATCATTGAGTTAATCGATGTGATGTGACTTTGTACGAAAATGTTTGAATCTTCACTTATTGTTCAATAACTTATTCTTATCGTTCATGACAGTGAAGATATTTCTTTGATTTTAGACATACAAAAATTATTGTAGTCCTTAGGAGTGCATGAAAATCTTTTTAATCTGATGTAAAACTACAAATCAACATTTTGTTCAATGATGGCGTAACGACAGCTTGCTACCTGATGTCAATAAGAACTTGGAATAATCAATACACATAATTAGTTAGATTATTCAATTTCAGTGAAAATTGCCAGATAACAACTAGGAGCAAATAAAAATAGAAAATAATGTCAGTCGAACAATCAATAACTTAGATAAGACAGTCTCAAGAAAACACTAAATTAGAAAGTTACATATCTTAGACAAATTATTTGTATTGATTGTCAAAAACCTATGGAGTATGTTTTGAGTAAAAGAAATACATGGTTTTATAGAGAATTCAAAGCTGAATCTTTTGATAAAAAAATTTGTTTTGAAATATAGAGAAAATGTTGAGATATTAGGAAAATACTAAGAACGCCATTTATTCCGGCGGCTGTAGGTGTAGATTGTGAGTTGTGGGTATGGGATGTGAGTGTAGCAGAAGAGAAGGCCACGCTCAAAATCACTCACACTGACACCCACTCGCGTCCACATCCACATCCACACTGACACTGACCCGCATCCACATCTACACCGATACCCATATGTCATAGATTTTGATTTCTCTATCTTCTATTTTCTGTTAGAAGTGAACAACCATTTGGTTGATATTACTATAATTTTATCTTTCTTCTTCAACAACATTGAAAATATGGATCACAAAGCGAAATTTATTCTTGTGCTTATTTTGGAAATTCCAGCTATTCTTATCTCAATACTTATTTTCGTCTATTTTGCTCGGAATCGTACAGCTCGTTCAAAACCACACAACCATGGCTGGCTCGTCTTACTTGTTGTCAATTTCTTTCAGTTGGTTTCAGATATACCCATGCCCTTGAGCTACTATTATCTCGGCATTGTTTCACCTGCATCGAATGCGTACTGCGTATGGTGGACTTGGTATGAATTTTCGTTGCTTGGGATGGGATTGTTTCTGATGGCTTGGATATCAATTGAGCGACATGTATTTATTTTCCATCCTCAAGTAAATTTTCGAATAGTATGGAAAAAGTGGCTTTTTCACATTGCACCGACTATTTTCTGTATCGCATGGCCATCGTACTTCTATATAATAGCAGTTGTCATTAGTCCACACTGTAGCACTGCATGGGATTTCAATTCGGTCATGTGTGGTACTCCATGTTATTTTAATGTCAATGTAATTGGTAAATTTGACTTTATTTTCAATATAGTTGCTCCTATTTCAACCATTGTCTTCGCAAATCTGACACTAGTCATTCGATTGATCTACAAAAAGATTTCTCTTAATCGAGCGGTCAACTGGTGGCGTCATCGAAAAATGACTCTTCAACTCTGGATTGTTTCTTCGCTTTATATGGGATTTTGGTTACCGGTAGCTATAGTCCAACTCATTCAAATCAGTGCTATGCCTTTATTTATGATTAATAGCGTGGAAACTCTTTTATTTGTTGTTTATTTCATTCCGCTTTTGTTGCCAATCATATCTTTGAGTATATTCCCCGAACTGGTCAAGAACATACTGAATTTCATTCGAAAACCGAGACGGAATGCGATTGGCGTGTTTATTATTACTGGTAATCAAAGGCAAAGAATGACTATTGGTATCGGTCGATGACAAAAATTTCTGAATGGATGAAACAAAATGAACTAGTTCTCATTTGATTGTACAAAGACATATAGAATTAAAAAAAAAAACTTTCAACGCAATCCTTATAGAATTGGAATGTGATACACGATGGAATCGCTTGAGTTACACTTAAAACCATAATGAAATTGAATATGGTCTATGACATGATAACAATGCAGTATTTTGACAAGTAACTTTGATCGGATGCCATCACATTTTATCATAGAATGAAAGAATATGAAATAATTATAAGTTTAGAGAAGATGTTACAAGAACGATCAAAAGTAGATTTATGCTTCATACTGACCAATTATAGGTAGAGAGATGTCTACATACTGCGTACAAAGAGTTTCATTCTTTGATATATTGAGTTCTACTTTACATGAAGAATCCGAAAGTCACATCGAGAAAAACGAAAAATGGAATAGTAAAGAGCTAGGCGTTGTTTTTTCTAAAAGAAGACTTTTTTTTAGATTTTGACACTTGCTCAGTATTTTGTATTTTTCTCCATGAAAATTTTGTCAAATCAAAAAAATTAAGTCATATTCGTAATCAGCAAAACAAACTGAATCTAATGATGTATGTTTAAGCTTAAAATCAAGAGTACTCAAATTTTGAATTAGCCACACCTTATAACATAATATTAATTCTTTGTTAACTTTCAATAGATTACTGTATTATGATTTGTATAGAATTTTAGTAATTCATGATGTATTCAAATGTAATCTTACATTATTTCTACTATGTTAAGCAGTATTCAAGAAACTATTCTTTCCATTCTAGTCAATCAATTGATATATTTGTATTATCATATAACATCTTATTCTATATTGAAAACAATCAACACTTTAAATTATATAATTGTTAAATTGTATTGTTGATAAATTTATTCTCATTATATACAACCATGAAATTACATGACAAATATATATATATATATATATATAGAATCAATCAATTAATCAACAACTGATTCAATATGAACTCTAGCCATTAAAATACATTTTCTTAGTCTTCGAAAATTTCTAAAGATCTTATTCATTCTCTATTGAAATAGAAACAAAAATAAGATAGAAAGATTGAATAATTTGGCTTTCTTTTGAATTATCAAATTAAGCTAGTATAAGAGCTGATAAACCAATAATAATAGGCGTTATGCCCCTCTATAAGAAAAAAAATGTTACTAATTTTTGCCACAAGTTTAATCTTAATTTCTAAAGAATGTTCTTGTTACTGATGTTCTGTCACTCAGCATGAAACTGTATGGCGGCGGTATGTTTATCTTTTTATTTCTATTCTTTTCTCACCGGTAGGTCAATTAGATTATGAACGATGACAATAGATTGTATCGATCAATATATAGTTTTCTTTTAAACACCTATAAGGTTAACGAATCTTAATCGAACAATAAACAAAATATTCATTATATTGATCCTCACACCTTACAATTGATAGATAGACATAGAATAGTTATTATCATTGCTCTTTTTATTTGTTTTTATTTTTATTTTACTGTTGAGAAAAGAAATAGAATTCACAAATCTCTTGATACTTCTATGGCTAAATGATGATCATCTTGATTCGTTTCGAGTGTCTTTTCCCATTTAGTTATCGATTGATTGATTGATTGATAACATGATTTGTTCGTACATTACGTTACTTTTTTTTTGTTTCTCCTCTGTATTTATCATCAACATTTGTAGATTTTCACATCTATATGATATCAATTCACAATGTAACATATTCGTAAATAATATTTTATTTTCTAACATAATCGAAATAAAAAACAAAAAAGAAAAGATTAAAAAGTCTGACTCAATTTTCAACAAGAATCCTTATTATGAAACTATTGGAATTGGTGATATGAACAATATTCTAATGTTGTCAATGGAAAGCATAAAGATGTTTGATTTTATATATGGTTTTTTTATTTAAAGTAATTTCAACAACATCTTCATAAATGATCAGAAGAAAATTGATTCCTATAGTTTAAGTTTATCCATGTCGAGACCGACTACAGTACTTATAAAACCGATATGTTCGAAACTTTTTGATCATATAAGTTTCAATTGATCACTTTTATCGTTGAGATCTTTACTAAAAATAATTGTAAGAAAAATTTAAAATTTAAAACAACAAAAATCTAATTTTACTACAGAAACAAAAACCATTAGATTCAAATTGAAAAAAAAATGCAATTTAGCTGTTGTGTACAATGAGTCCATCGATTAGTCGCCTGTAGTGTTATCATTTAACCAATTAGTGTAAATCAATTAGCGTATCAAATAGGCTTGTCATTTTTTTTTCTTCTTTCTCTTTTTCTTCTAATCTATCAATTGATTTCATCCAATAAAATAAACATTTTTCTATACATTGAATATTTATTGGTTGAAACCAGAGTGAGAGAAAAAAATTCGTCGTCTGCACATACATTTTCCATCTGGTGCAATAACTTCATTCTATTGACAACATTTCTAGTGTTCACTTCACTAATAATTCTAATCATGGAAGACGATCGTAGTACTAGTCCATCAAGTATGACTTCAAGTCATGATGAACATGATTCTGATGTACCAGATATTCGAATATATCAACCAACATTTAAGTAAGCATTTTATTTTATTTGTTATTTAAAAAAGAAAATTGAATTTAAAAAAAAATGTTTTTTTTTTAAGTCCACTTTGGTTTCCATTTACACCATTACGTAATTCACCTATATTCAATTCAATATCATTTCAACAACCAATACGTTCAATTACACCAATAGTTCGACATAATTTCAAGAGTATTGAGGAATTACTTTCTCCTATTCCTTCTAATTCTATATCTTCTACTCCCTCTCAACGAAATGGTAAGGCAAATTTTTAAATTTATTTTTGATTTTTAGATTCAAATCAGATAAGTAGATTACCAGTAAAAAATATTCTTCTATTATTATCTAGTTTATATATAATTTCTTCATTGAATTATCATCAATTCTTTTTTTTTTCTTTATTATTTAGACGATACTGGTTACAGTTCACAATTATTATCTGGTTCTTTACTTTCATTACGACAAAGTCGTGAATCAATTGATTCAGAAGAAAATGAACATGATATTGAAAATATCAAACCAGCAGCATCATCATCACCAATAGAAGACACAAAAAAACAAAATAATGAATCGGTAAATTCAATAAAAACAAATTTGTTGTTTTTTTTTTTCGTCAAATAATCTCACTTATTTTATATTTAGAAAAATAAAAAAATAAAAAAAATTCGTACAGCATTTACAGATCATCAAAAAATGAGTCTTGATCGTTTTTATGCAACAAATCGTTATCCAGATCCAACACAAATGGAAACACTTTCACGTTTATTATCACTTGAAGAAAAAGTTATTCGTGTTTGGTTTCAAAATAAACGATCACGAGAAAAAAATCATCCACGAAATCAATTATCTATTCATCAACAATCTAATCCAACAGCAACTATGGCTATTTGGCAACAATATTCATCATCATCATCAAATTTTCCTCATTGAATAAGACAAAAATGAACTTCTTTGTTGTTGTTTTTTTATTTTATGTCCGCAGTATATTGTATATATATTGATATACTTGTTTAATAAATAGAAGAAAAAAAAAAATCAACAGTTTATAATTAAAAGAAGTGGTGATTATAATAGCTGTCAATAGAATATTTTCACCAATGTTTTTCTTTTTCGAGAGAACGAAATAACTCAAAATGAGTGAATGATTCTCGTCAAAACAGCTGTTTGTTCCACTCATTCATTTTTGTTTTTTTTGTAAGAGAAAGTAGAACAAAAATGTTCATATTATGTGAGCAGATGTTTTGTATATCGACATTCAATAGGATGAGCAATATTTGTTCAGTATTGATCTGTTGTATTCATTTAGTAATTTCAAAAGATTAGGGAATAATTCTTTAAAAAAAAGGTGTTAGTTTCGGATTTATACATGTCTTATAGTAAGTTATCGGTTGTAAAATTTTAAAAGGTCAAGAATGATTCTTTTTTGCTGATTGTTATTATAAATGTATGATGTTCGAATTTGATGATTACATAGGTCTTGGTGATTTTTACGCTTGGTTATTGCATTTTAAACTGATCACTATATGAATTTACTTTACATAAGATAACAAACTTCATTATAACAATGGACAAATATGAATCTTACAGTTTCTCTGATGTTATTAAAAGTCTCTAGTATATTCACCTTGTCGAACAGATAAAGGAATACATAAAATGATCATGAAATGTCTCATGAGGCATAGAATATAGATGAAATGATAACAAAGAAGAAAAAATTCAATGATTAATCAATGAATAATCATTGAATATTACATACAAATTCTTAAGATACAATATTATTTGAAAAGACTAAGATATTCAATAGTACAATACTTCCAAATGATATTACATTGTGAGGAGGGGAACCAATCGTTTTTAATCTCGGTCTTGATTAATAAAAAGAATTTGATCCTATATATGTATTAGTGGATAATACGATATCATTTATATTTTTAAAATTCACTAAGACTTCGTCTATTCTCTACGTTTACGTATTCAACAGTTCTGTCGTTTACGAGAAAAACAGTTAATTTTACTATCAAAATTGTGACAGCAAATATTAAAGTGATTGTTATATAATAATTTTCGCATTAAACCCGTCTTTTTTTATTATTTTATTTCTTTTAATAATTTAGAACAAAATTCAAGAATGTATACATACAAAAAAAAAAAAAACAACAAAACCAAAACTGTACAAATGATAAAATCATAATATAAAGTTATCTTTTGACAATTAGAAAAATATCAGTTCAAATATTTTATTGTACTGACAAATACAAAATAGACAACAAAAGAAAAACATTTAAAATATTAAAAAATCAACATCTTGATGTATATGGCTTACTGTACATTATTCTTCAATGTTATTTAATTCAATAACAGTTTCATAACGTCCGGATGAATCATCACCTATACCAGGATCATTTGATGGTCGAGAATAATAATGATATTGAGAATTTTGATATACAATACTTGATTCACTACCATTAGCTATTTCAGCATATATATCACTGCTAGTTGTTGTTTCTTGTTCACTATTTACAGATGAATAATAATTTTCATTTATTTGTTGTTCTTGTTGATTTTGTTCTTCTTCTATTCGTAAATGTTGAGCACAATCTTGTAAAGATTCACGTACTATAACTTCATCATAACAAGGACGACGAATAGACGAATAATCATTATCATCATTAGTTATTGTGTTTACAGTTGTATTCGTATAAACTTGAAGTGGCAGAGGTGGTAATGGTGGTGGTGGTGGCGGAGGAGGAGGAGGTAGATGCTCAGAAGTTATAGTAAATCCGGTTAAATGTGAACTTATCGAAGGTATCGGTTGTGAAGAAAAACTAAATTAATAAATACAAAAATATTAGGTATATTTGTTTGTTTCAATGAGACTAATTGGAAACCGAAATAAAGATTCTATTCTATACTTTTGTAGAAAATCACATATAAATAAGGGAAAACTAGGTAGTGTCATTAATAAATTCGTTGAAAGGAAATTTCTATAAAGACAGTTCTATAGTTTTTTGCTAACCCATATGCAATAAACTATTGATATCTATTTACAGTTGTAATAAGAAAGAATAAGTTAACAGTATTCTCTAGAGTGAGATATATATTTGATAAAGTGAAAGAGAGAATGCTTCTGATTAAAAATGTTCATCTATTCAATAATTGAAATATTAATGAATATGCGGATGCTTCGAAATTTCTTTCTTTATCTTCTATTAATTTACTACTAACAAATATCAAATCACAGTTGCATCTATTTTTCATTAACTTACGCAGTTGTCGACATTAGTAAAGAATCTTGTCGAAGAACGGCAGCATTAATAGTACTTGTTGCATTTGTTTTTATTCGTATTCCATCATTAGTTGTTCTAGTTCTATTTACAGTAGCATAAAGTTCTGTATCATCATCAAATGATTCTTGTTGTAATCGTATTGGTGTTAATTTTGTATGATTACCATATTCCATTGATCTTGTTGTATTTCGATCAACATTCATAATATCGATTTCTCCATCACCTGATGAATCAATAATTTTTTCATAATCAGATTCAATTGATACAACTAACATATCTGATAATAATGGAAGTGGTGCTAAAGTAACTGTTGGTATTTTTGAATTAAAATTTGTATCATTAATATTCGTTGATGATATATTATATGTAGAACGATCACGTTTAAGACAAGAACACAATGAAAATTTCATAGTGATTAAAAATTATCTAGAAATTCATCGATCATCTAATCCATTGAATATTAGTTTTCATTACAATTTTCATCTAAAATTTAAAATTATATTTAATACTAACAAACTAGAATTTTTCTAACTAAAATTATAGCAAAATGAATAATCTAACTAAAAAAAAAATATTAGAAAAAGAAAAACTTGTTCAGCTAATTAATTATATACTACTTGACTTTAAGTTGATTTCTTTTCACGACCAACAAATGTATCCATTGATTTATGAAGACCAATCATGTCATGTATTTCAAGTTCGGCTGCTCTTGGTGCAATTCTAATACGAAAAACACAATAAGCCCATAGAAAATTTAATTTTTTCTTCAATAATATTCAAACCTGTTCAGAATAGCCGAAAGCGTCAATGATTTTGGTATAATTAATAAATGCTTATTTTGCCGAATACCTTTCACGATGTCATCACAAACCTTTTCTTGATCCAATAGCGGTGTTAAGTCACTAAAAGTAAAAAATAAAATAAAATAAAATCATTATAAACCGTTATTTACTTACGTAGAAGTAGCCCCGTCAAACATACCTGTATTAATAAAACCTGGGCAAACAACTGTTGTTTTAATGCCATATTTCTTCAAACCATATAATTCATGTCTGAATAAATATATATATATATATTTACACTTAACTAATAAAGAAAAAGTAATTCTTACGTTAAAGCTTCATGTAAACCAACAGCAGCAAATTTTGATGAACAATAATCAACCAAACCTGATACACCAGCTAAACCAGCAGCACTTGCAATAGTCACAATATGACCATAGTTATGTTCTAACATTGATGGTAAAAATGCTTTGAGAATCTACATTCAAAGATAATGAATACATTATAGAATCAATAATATAATCACACTAAATATAAGCAAAATAGTCTCGATTGCAACGTAATCGAGATCGGGGCTAAACTCTTTTTATAATAGGGATCAGGGCCATAACACGATTGATTTCGTTCATCACTATATCATACCCAAAAATGAGCGATAACATTAACATCAAATGTACGTCGAATCGATGCATCACTACAGTTTACTAATTGTTTGCCTGAAACAGTACCAGCATTATTGATAATCATTGTTACATGACCGACAGTTTCTTGAATCTATGTGTTTTAAATTAAAATACATCTCCTCATCGTATATCTTATTTACCTTTTTAGCACATTCATAAATATTTTCCTTATTTGTTAAATCACATTTCATAGCATGAATGCGTTCTGAATTAGTGACTGTATTCAGTTCTTCTGCAACATGAATATTATTAACTTCATCGATATCCCATAGAACAAGTGTACAACCAAGATGAGCCAGTTGTTGAGCAATACCTTTACCAAGTCCACTAGCTGCACCGGTAATGAGAACAATTTCTGAATTAAGATCTTTTAATGAAGGACCACCACGAATGAGATTGACTAGTGCAATAAAATAATGTTTTAATACTATAAAAAATATGATGAGATATAGTTGGATGACTTGGGCAATAGCCATGACTTATTCAAATCTAGAAGAATATGTTTATGATAATTATACATGTCGAAATAAAAAAAGAAAAAAAAGAAATTGTGTTGATTATTATTCAGTGACAATAATGAATTTTCATTTGTTGAATTAAGCTTAATATATGTTACTATTAATAAACTCGTCATATGATAATAAAAACATAAAAATACAATTTGATAAGATGTAAATATATTAGATGTATGATAAAAAAATATTCTATTGAAGAAAAAAGGATAAAAGAGCTAAAACATTATTGATGCATTAAGAAAAAGAAACTCGATCCATTAGCTCTCAAGAAATGATTAATGTTTAACAAAAACATAATGAATAGGACAGAATAAATAGCAGTCTCAATATTTTGATTTTGCAATATATTAGCCATTTTTTGTTAGTTCGAAATTGATGTCCAATCAAAATATTAAACTTTTCATGCTCTGTAAAACTATATATATCGAATAATGAAAATATACTTTATAGTTTTTCGATGCATAGCATCGACAATGATTCGAAAATATCAAACTTTCTCAGTGAATCGTTTCACGAAGATTTATTCTTCATCATTGAAGTAATGTTGTTATTGCCATTTTATTCTATACTATTCGTTAATGTAAAGAAACTATATCATATAAAATCATATTTAAAATAAAAACAAACTAAAATCGATTATTTAAAAATCATTTATTACTTTTATAAATTATCATAATATTTTACCATATAAGTCAATTGATTTGTAAAAAAAATATAAAATTTTAAAATCACATATTGAAATAAAAGGATAATTAATAAATCTAAAAAAATTTAAAAAAAAATGAGCAAAATATCTTTAATGACGCCCAACAAATGTATCCATGGAATAATAAAGATCAGTCATACCTTGCGATTCAATTTGAGTTGCTATTGATGCTATACTAATATCAAATAATAATAGACACTCACTATAAAAAACCACAATAATAATTCAAATCTGAAAACTTTTGGTATCAATAACATATGTTGATCTTTTCATATAGCTTCAATAATTTGATCACAAACATTATCAAGCTGTAACATAGGCAATAACATACTAACGAAAAAAACATAAACAAAATAACAAACGTATATTGAATGGAAAAGAATCTTTCGAGATTTTTACCTTGTAGTAACACCATCAAACATATTAATCTTAATAAAATTTGGACAAATAACAGTTGTTTTTATACCGATCTTCTTCAGTCTGTGCAACTCATGTCTACAAAATTTTGATAAACAATAATCAACAAGACCCAATACACCTGTTAAATCAGCACCACTGGCAATTGTTACAACATGACCATGATTATTATCTAATATTGATGGTAAAAATGCTTTGAGGATCTACATACAAATATAATCGATATATGATAGAATAAGTAATCTCATCATACTCAGAAATAAATGGACGTTGAATCGATGCATCACTACAGTATATTAATGGTTTGCCTGAAATAACACCAGCATTATTAATAATCATTGTCACATTGCCAATATTTTCTTGTATCTAATTAATTTGAATAGACATATGAACATTTTTTTAGTTTTCTTGCACATTTATAAATACTTTCTCTATTTGCTAAATCACATTTCATAGCATTATTTAGTTCGTTGACAACATCAGTATTATTAACTTCATCGATATCTCATAGAATAAGTGTACAACCAAGATTAGCAAGTCTTTGAACTACACCTGTTTCAACATCACTAGTAGCTCCAGTAATAAGAATTATTTCTGAATTAAGATTCTTTTGGGTGGACCATTAGTAATTGATGCAAATAAATCACGAAACCAATGTTTAAATAAAAAACATAAAACAATTTAATATATTGAATGATGATTGCTTTAATAGCTATTAGTTTATTTTAAATCTAAAAATTGTTTTTTTTTGTACTGTAAAATAATTACCAAATAAAAATTATTCAATCGAAAAATATTGATGACTTTCAATGACCATATTTTAATCAGACTGTCTCAAGATAATTCAAAATGTAAAATAGTTATGTCAAAAAAAAGGAATATAACTCGACTATAAAAATTGAAAGCTTTAAATCTATTAGAAATCGATTTGTATCATCTTTAAACAGATTCCTCGTGACAACTAATAAATGTGTTTATTATATGTCTCATTTAAAAATAACATAATTTTTCAGCTATTGATGCAATTTTAATATTCATATCGTTTAGTATTATGTATCATATGTAGGTTTTTGTGAATATCTACCTTTGATTACTTATCAGATACAACTTCTTTCAAAAATAGAGTACATACAAAAGATCTCATTTATAATCATTATTTCTTCTATCGTTTGCGATGAATTACTCACGAATAATAACTTTAAACATGTGCGCATTTATAAAGTTTGGGATAAAACAACAGCTGTTTTAATACCATCTTTATTTACTACTAGCAATCGTTACAATATGACCATGATTTTTTTATCAAGTATTGATGGTAAATATGCTTTGAGGATCTACATTCAAGGATAACCTATACATGATAGAATCAGTAATATCATCTTACCTAAAAATGAGCGATAACATTAACATCAAATGTACGTTCGATCGATGCATCACTACAATTTGCCTGAAGCAACACTAACATTATTGATAATCATTGTCATATGACCAAGAGTGTCTTCAACCTATATGTTTCAAATTATAATACATCTTCTCGTCGTATATCTTATTTACCTTTTTTAGCATATTCATAAATACTTTCTCTATTTATTAAATCACATTTTCTAGCATTGATGCGTTCTGTGTTAATGGTTGTATTCAATTCTTCTGTGATATGAGCACGATATTCCATAGAACAAGTATACAAACAAGATGTTATGCAATACTTTTTTTTTTTTTACCAAATCCATTAGCTGCATCGATAATAGGATTGATTAGTGTAATGAACCGATGTGTTAATAATATAGAAAAAAATATGATGAGATTTTATGTTCATATGACATGTATCTCATAGCCATGACTTATTCATATCTAAAATAAATTCAAACAATAAAATGTTTGTCATTATGAAGGTTTTATTAATGTTGGAATAAAATGAGAATCAAGAAAATTTCTTTTCTTTAATGTCGAGCAACACGAACAATTTTTCTTTTGCTACCCTTTTTTCCATCTGATTGATCATCTTCATTTTGATTATTTCCGCTACCACGTAATTGAGCATAAGGTGAAAAGAAAAAAAGCATGATGCCTTTATAGATAGCATAAAATGGAATCTAGAATAGAGTTCAATTTTTAAATGAAATAAACATCATTTTTTTTTGTATACAAACAGCTAAAATTAACCACCAAAAATATCGATGTAAAAGACTAGTAGATTGAGTAATAACAATTGTCAATATAATATCTTTCGCATATCTATAGAAATATAGGAAAAACTTTTATGTTAACTTGATTTTCTTAGAATAGACTAGTGTGTTTAAGATTATTTCAATCTTTAGCAAAACAAACGATGAAAACTAAATTTTATGAAAAATGTTAATTATGTTTTAATGAAAACATATATTAACTATCGAACATATGTGACTTCGGAATATCTCTTGCCTGATAAACAAATCTTACTCAGAAATACTGCCTTCAAGATTTAGATCAGTGACACTACCAGTTGATTTTTGTGTTCCAACTTGACGCATAAATGACCATACATACCATCCAATAGCAGTTGATAATACAAAGAGTATCTATCAACAATAGATTAAATAGCTATTCTTTTTTTTTTTTCTTCGTTGAACACTCACGAGAGAAACATGCGAAAGTCCCGTAATAAAATAAAAAATAAATTGAACAGCAATAAAAGTGATCTATTATATATTTTTATTTTCTTATCCATTATGAATAAAGATAATATTAAAAAATCTTACATTAGCAATCATTAGAATTTTTTTGTAAAATTCTATTGTTTGCGCATTATCTTTGACTATTTGTGCATCACCTTTTGTTGCTTGTTTTCCTTTTTTCTATGAAAATGAAAAAAGAAAACAAAAGTTTTATCAGATCTAATAGATGAAAGAACAAAAATCTTACTTTAGTATTACTATCTTCACCGATTGAAAACATTTCAATATGGAATGATATTGAGTTTTTAAAAAGTTTTGTATTTTCAAAACTTAATCGATTCCTGTATATGCGCACCTATGAAGTGACGTGTACGTTCGGTATCTTTTAACTTCAATATGCCATCGGTTGATAATCAAGAGCAAATAAGTGGTCTATGTTAGGTGCCACATAGATGGCGCCGGCAACTAGAATAAAGAAGCATGATTGAATGTCTCAGATAATATGGACAAACGATAAGTATTGTTGATATAGAAGAAGACTCTCTCAGTATTAGTCATTAGAAGATGTACTATTTCTTAAATAGAACTGTTTCAAATGGAAGATTGTCGAAAGTATTCCATCTACCTTCTAACTAAGGCACATTTTCTTCACTTCCACAGAACGTCACAAGACAGTTTGCTTCGTTCTGTTCTGTACTCTGCAGAACATTATTATTCAGTCATTCCGTTTTGCAGAACACCGAGTAGGGTATTAAAAAGTTCGTTCTGGCAGGCTAGAGAATCCTTCTGCATCCGGACTACAATACGATCTTCTTATAGTATTTTTGATCAGAATAAGAACTTGTCTGTACATATGGTACAACATCAAATATCGTATACCACATAATCATGTTAATAAATCTTATTATTTGTTGCTCAGTAGAAATGAAATCACCAATCAAAAAAAAA